GCGGCGGACGGCGCGTTTGGGGCGAGGGAGGCCGAGCGGCTGGAGCGGTTGGAGCGGCTGCTGCTGCTGCTTGGGCGCGCTCAGAACGCGGCCGCGGGCAGCGACGCCGGCGAGGCGGCCGTTGAGGCGGCCCGCGCGGCCGCCGCGGCCGCGGGCGGCGCGGACGGCATCGCCTGGGAGGCGGAGGAAGAGGCGCGGCGGCTTATCCGCGAGCGGGCGCTGCTCGCGCGCCCCCGGGCGCTGGAGCAGGCGCCGTGGCCGGTGGCGCTCGCGGCGGAGGCGCTGGCGGCGTGGGCTGCGCTGCCGGGGCAGGCGCTGCGGCGGGTGGTGCTGCACGCGCTGTGGAGCCTTGCGAGCGGCAGGTGAGCGGCCACAAAGCCGGGGAGCCTGGGGCAGGCTGCGTGTTCAGAGAATCGCATTGGGGGCTGTGCCGAATAACAACCAGCGTCCAGAGCGCCATCGAATTTGTTTGTGGAAATCTGAGTTGGCTTAGTGTCTGCGAACATGCCAGCAGATTGCGCGCACACCTGAGTGCACCTCACACCAGAGGCAAGTTCCGGCAGCTCGGAGGCAGCGCTCAGCCCTGAGCTCCCGCACATGCGCACATGCAGGTGGGGCAGCGGCGCCAGCGTGGCGGCCGACCACAAGCGGCGTCACCGGCTGGACGCCAGGTGCGGCGGGTGACAACCATGGGGCATCAGCAAACGTGCTCAGCACCCCGCCTCGTCAGCCTGGGAATATTAGCAGTTATGCTCACTTCCGCATGTGCAGGCACGCGCACTGCCTCCCCCAACCTGAGGTGCCTCCCTATGGCACCTGACAGCTAGCCGCAGGTTGTCATTGCTTCCCTTTCACAAGCATCCCCATCCGCCTGACCTTGTCCCCGCTCTCCCCTCCCGCGCATGCAAACGGCATTGATAACTCACCCACCGTGTGATTTCACCAGGTGGGTGCGCCGCGAGGGCGATGACTACCCCAGCGTGCAGGCGGCGCTGCAGGACGACTCAGTGCGGGTGTACAGGTGAGAGGCGCGCGGTGTTGACGCCCGGTGCCGGGAGTTTTGCCCGTGTTCAACGGGTTGCTAGTGGCTCTTCTTTGATTTCTTGCTCTGCGGGTTGGATCGACCGCCCACGGTTGATGGGAGGGTGTCGGAGCCGGCGAGCGCGTTCAGTGCACCTTGCGGCGCTGCCCCCATGGGTATCACGGCCCTCAACCACTGACACCAAATTCGCCATCAGTGCCCGCCTCACCGCTCAGGCCCCTCCCTCTGTTTGCTGTCCCCATGAAATCCCCAGCACTACCCTCCTGGGCGCAATCTGCGTTGTCTTCGAAGTCACGCCGGACGCTGCTCCTGCCACTCACGGAGGCGCGGCGCTCACCCCCCTCGCCGCCTCCGCGCCCGGCAGCGGCGCCGCGGCGGCCGCGGCCGCGGGCGACCTGTTTTGCGATCACATCCTTGTGTGGGACATCCTAGCCCTTCCCCCGGACGCGGCGGACGCGCCGGCGCCTGCGATGCGCACGAGCAGCGGCGGCGGCGGCGGCGCCGGCGCGCACGCCGGAAGCAGCGCCAGCGGCGCAGCGCCGGCGCCGGCGCCGGCGGCGCACCCGGCGCTTCACGAGGCGCTTGTGCGGATTGCTGCCTCAAAACGGCAGGGTCTGTCTGCCCTTGAGCTGACGCCGCTTGAGCCGCACGGCCCTGCGCTGCCGGCCGGCGACGGGGACGACGACGGCAGCTTTGATCATGCTGACGAGGCGACGCCTGCGTATTACTCGGCCATGGCGCCGGAGGACGGGCCCAGGGCGGCCGCTGCCGGCGGCGGGCGCGGCGGCGACGCCGGCTGGGCAGAAGATGAGGACGGGGAGGGCGGGGGCGCGGCGCCGCACTTCGAGATCAAGCAGCGGCGCACCGCGGGGCCGGGGGCGGCCAGCGGGGCGCGGCGGCGGTACCACTGCGCCCCGGCGAGCGGGCGCGGCGCGCTGGGGCTGCTGCGGCGGTACGAGCTTGGCGCGGTGCTGGCGAAGGCGGTCGTGCGGGGGCTGGGGACGGCGGACCTCAATTTCCCAATCAAGGTAGGCCAGCAACCCTCTATGGGCAGTTGTGGGGGTTCGTGGTCGGCAATTGTGTGGGAGAATCGCTGCCGTCGACGCGTTGTTGGGGTGGGCGGCCATTGGTATGCAGCAGCTGCGTGGTTACCATGCATGCAGCCCTTCAAGTGCATGATCATATCCAGATCGCAAGCAAGCAGGCGGCGTTGTTGGGTGCGACGCGACGACCCCTGCCTCGACCATTGACCGCAGATCTGCAGCGCGGAGCGGTCCGTGGTGACCTTCGCACCGCGTCCGCCCGCGCCGCTACTAGTCATAGGACGCAGCGGGACAGGCGAGCCGGCCCGCGCGACGACCCCAGGGCCCCAGGGGCTGCGGCCGCGGGCGCGTGCCTTTAGACTGCTGGAATCCGCCTGCTACCGCCCGGTGCTTGCGCCCGCCATGCTGCGTGCCTACGTGCAGACCTTGCACGCTTTCGGCCCCTTACAACACTCACACACCCTGCATCTTTCGGACCTTTTCCCCCCACCTCTTTGCAGGCAAGACGACCTGCCTGGTCCTGAGGATGTTTGAGCAGTGGCGCGACGCCCGAGAGGCTTCCGCCGCGGACCCGTCCCTGGCCCCGCCGCGCCAGCTGTTTGTCACGGCCAGCTCCACCCTCAAAAACCAGGTCGGCTTGCCACTATCCTGGGTGTGCAGGGCAGGAGCATAGCGTTGTGAGGTCATCACGATGCAGCGGTCATCATCATGCATCAGAGGCAGGATGCCAGCTTGCACCTAAGTTGGGGCAGTGCCGCGGCCGCAGCCCCCGTCCGCTCCATGCCTCTCGTAGGCTCGCGCCACTCTGGCACTGCCGAGTAGCTTGGCTGCTTGCGTTTGCTGATGCACGCGCGTTCGCACGCACACCCCTCGACCCCGCAGGTGCGGCGCAGCTTCCGCCGCCTGCAGGCCGCCGAGCTGTCCGCGGCCGAGCGCCAAGAGCAGGCGGTTGCTCTGGCGGCGCTCCATGGCGGCGGTGGCGGCGGCAGCGGCGAGGGCGGCGATGGCGCCCCAGACTCTTTGCTGGGCGTGCCTGACGCGGCGTGGCCGCTGTTCCTCACTGGCAGCCAGCTGCTGCGCCTGCTGGATGCGGCGCTGCCAGGTGCGTGCATGTGTGTGTGTGTGTGTGTATGTGTGCGCGCGTGCGTGTGCGCGCGTGCGTGCGCGTGCGTGCAGAGCGACCGCGGGGCGTGGTAGGACAGTGCACCCACACACGAGTATGCTGCCCTGGGAGTCAGCGCCACCGCCCCATCATGCGAGCCTGTTGTCACATATACCCTGACGCCACGCTGCGCCCGTTCCGGCCCCTTGAGCGGCCCTCTGTCTTGTTACTTGCGCGCGTGTCGCAATCTCAGGGTCGTTCCTGCGCCCGGAGGACAGCTTCGATGGCGATGAGGGGCGAATCAAGGACCTGCAGCAGAAGCTGGAGCAGCTCGAGGTTGGGGGTGCTCAGGGTTTAAGCTTGATGGTTTGCGGGCAAGTTTGTCTGCTTAAGCAAAGGGGCGAAGTTAGAGCAGGAGCTGGGGTTTGGAAATTGATTTAGGGCCTGTGGGCGCTATGGGCCCTGAGGTCACCGACAGCTCAAACCTGATGTGTGCTTCTGCATGGGCTTGTTTGGGGGTTTCGGTGGGAACAAGTTTTGCTTGCTTATTTGGCGCGGCGTGTCACCCCTCCACGTTCAGGAGGCCGAGGAGGAGGAAGAAGAGGCAGAGGCGGAGGCGGAGCGGCGGGCGGCCGCGCTGTCGAGTAGCAAGGGCGGCAAGAAGGATGTGTCCATCGCGGCCGCCGCCGGCAAGAGTGGCGTGGTCCGCTCGGGCAGCGGCGGCGGCGGCAGCGGGCGCGGCGCCAAGCGCAAGGAGGTCGCCGCGCGGCGCATGCTGACGCACTCTGAGTTCCTGGCTCGCTGGCAGAGCATGGTGTGTTAGTTGGCGCGGGCATGGGATTCTGGGCAGTAGCCTGGGACCCAGGCCTCTCCTGGTGGTGCACGAAGTGCGCGTCTGCTCCGAAGCTTTGCAGCAGCAGCAACGCTGCGCCTGGACGCTCCGCTGTTGCGGGCGCAGTGCCTTGCCCCTGCGAGTTCGCATCCAACACAGCGCCGCATCCACTCCATGCGTGCAACAGATCCAGGTCCCCGATACCTCCTTCATACCTCTGTTCATTTCCACTTGCCCTTATCTCAGGCTCAGGCGGCTGGCATTGACCGCGACCGAGTGGACGGGGCCCTGGTGTTCCAGGAGATCATGACGCATCTCAAGGTTGGGGGAGGTTTAACCATGCTTTGACCGGGCTTTGACCAAGCTCCGACCAGATTCTTGATCAGGAAGTTTGACGCAGATCTAAAAAGGGTGTGTCCACAGCGGCTTGAGTTACAGTCATTGAGGCGTCCTTGCGTTCCCGCCCCTGGCCACTCTCCGGTGTCAAAGGTGCATGCGCCCTGACCGCCCGGCAAGAACACCAATAGCCCTGCTGGCACGCCGCCCGGCCTGACCTTTTCTGCTTGCACGACACATGATTGCACACACGTGCGTATCCTTAGAACAACCCACCCACCCGTATGGAATTGACCTACTCATCCACTCAGAATTAACCACCCATGCAACCGTACGAGATCCCGCCCATGCGTGTAAAATCCGCCCACCAACTCATTGTGCTGCAGGGCTCTGCCGAGGCGGTGTGCAGCGCCAGCGGGTGCCTGGACCTGGAGGCATACCTGGCCCTGGGGGGCAAGAGGGCGTCAACATTCAGGTGGGAAGGGCGCGGGACCTGTGACGGGTGCAAATGCTTGCTCATGCGTGTTTGTGTGCGTATGTGTGTTGGTAGGGTCCGCTGATTGGCAAGAGGGCAGTTTCAGCTGCCCTGAGGCCCCATGTTGGGCGGCCAGGGGGGTGGCTAGCCGGAGGAAAGGGGCCGTGTGCCAGGGTCATCTTAGATGCAGTCAGCCCTTTTGTTCTCTGGTGCGTCGTGCATGACGCGTTTGCCTGTTCAATGCTGTCGGGCCAACCTTATGATCATGAGCTCCTCGTGGTCCCCTCTGCGAGGAAAGCAGCCAACCAGCCAGCCAGCACCCACTTGACCAAACACCTGTATGTGTAAAATCTGAAAACGTTTCCCTTTGTAGCCGCGACTTGCGAGTGGTGGTGCATCGGATCCTGGAGCCGTACACCGCAATGATGCGAGAGCACAGGCGGTAAGTGGGTGGGAACAAGGGTGGCTGCTGGAGAGTGACCAGCACAGCTAATCGCAAATGGCTGGCAATTACAAGTCCTCTGATGCAACCCCTCTCCTTTACTTGCCAGTTCATGTGCTCTTGCATTACACAAACATACACAC